TTCATATCAAAATGGCTAAAAAGCATGCTTTTTGTGTCATTTATAACATGCAAATTTGAACCTAATATCAACAAATCATCTACATAGAGACTAACAATGACATGTAAATTTTCAGAAGATATGCAATACATACACTTGTCACACTCATTTGTTTGAAAACCATGTTTAAAAATGCATGAATCAAACTTTTCATGCCACTGCGTAGGTGCAAGTTTTAAGCCATATAGGGATTTATTTAACTTACACACTTTGTTTTCTTGTTCGGGTTGGTTCATATAAATTTTCTCATCTAGATCTCTATTCAAAAAGACAGTTTTTATATTCACTTGATAAATTCTAAGATTATAAATTGCAGCTACTGTAATAACAATATAATGGATATGACTTTAGATACTATAGAAAAAGTTTTGAAAAAATCAAGACTAGCTTTTGTTTAAATTTTTTGCAACAAGTCTAATTTTGAATTTATCGACTGCACCATTTAGTTTATATTTATTTCTAAGGACTCATTTACAATCAATAGTTATATAATTTGGTGGTAGTTTTACCAATTTCCAAGTGTTGTTGGAGATTGGAGAATCTATCACATCATTTAGAGCATCTTTTCAAAATATAGCATCGAGTGAAGTAAAAGCTTCATGTAATGAAAGTGGAGTCTCTTTAGTATTGAAAACATAGTAGTCAAGGTCAAAATCTCTTTCAACTCTAGCTCTTTTCCTCCTCCTAGGTTCAATTTAAAAATTTTCTTGAAAAAGGAGTAGAAGAACTTGGTCGTGATAAAATATTTTGTCTTAACTCTTCACCTCCACTATTTTTGGTTTGGACAGGAAATTTATCTTTATGAAAAATGACATTATCTAATTCAAAAATAATATTATTTTAAATATCCAAAAATCTGTAGGTTGCACTATTTACTACATATCAAAGAAAAATACTAATGGTAGTTCTAACATCTAATTTTGGTATTTTAGGATCTGTCTTCCAAAAGCTAAACAATCCCAAACCCTTAAAAATCCCAAGTTAGACTTATACGTTTTCCACAGCTCAAAGGGTGTGATTTTTGTTTTCTTGTAATGCACCCTGTTTAATACATAACATGCAGTTAAAATTTCTTCATCTTAAAGATTTGAAGAAGCACATGACTCAATAAGCATGTCATTTATCAAATCAATCAAAGTTCTATTTTATTTTTCTTTCAGCTATACCATTAGAATTAAAAGTAATATAATCATACTCTTGGCCTCTATCACTTCTAAGTCTTTTAATTTTCCTACCGAATTGATTTTCAACTTTTTGGAAGAAAACTTTGAATTTATCAAAAGCATCACTTTTATTTTTCAATAAATAAACATAAGCATATTTTGAAAAATCATCAATAAAAGTGAAAAAACATTTGTCTCCTCAATGAGTTAAAATTTCTTCAAATTCACAAAGATCAATAGAATTAATTCTAACAATACAATATTTCTTTCAACACTTATATAGGGCTTCTTTGTAATTTTTGCTTGATTGCAAATTTTACATTTTTTGAAATAATTTTTTTAGTCTTGGGAGTAATCCTAAACTACTCATAATTTCACATATTCACTGTTTATATGACATAAACGAGAATGCTAAAAATTCACAAAAGAAGGCATATAAACAAAAGTAGATTTTGTTTTTTTACTCTTAATGTTCAATTTGAATATTCCATCACATGCATAACCCTTACTTACAAATAAATCCTTTTTGATAATCACACATTGATCAGATTCTATAGTCTGTCTAAGGTTAGCTTTATTAAAAGAAAAAAAAAGCTTGATATCAAATTCTTCCTCATTGATGATGCATGTAAAACATCTTTGAAAGTTAGCATATGTCCCAATGTGAATTTCAGTTCAACCTCACCACTCCCAATAATCTTGGTTTTGCTAGAATCACCAAACATGATGATTTTCTCTTCCTCGATTGGAGTGTAATTTTTGAACCAATCTTTATCATAGCAGACATGCTTATTGGCACCAGAATCTATCCACCATCTTTCAACATACTATACCATGTTAGTATTTGTAATCATCGCCACAAGTGGCTCTTTAGTTACATTAGCCCAAGGAAGAAGTTGTTTTTGAAATCTACAATTTCGAGCAATATTCAGACATTTGCTACAGATAAAACATGCATTATAAATTTGATTTTGAGAAGGAGTCCTTGGTTCTTATTTTTCTAGTTCAAGTTTCCCCGATTGTGAGATTTACTATAAATTTTCATATTTTTCTTTTTTGGCTTCAACTGACTATTTCTAGAAAATTGATTATTGGGTAAGTGATTATTTGTGGCAATTAAATTTACCTTCATGCCAGAATGTCCATTCTTTCTTGTGTCATAAGTGCATCTTGGCCTCTAGCTTCTTCCTCTACGCTGATGCGAGTGATCAAGGTCCCCAAGGTCTTCTCTTTTTGCTTATGGCACATTGACTTTAGGAATTCTCTCCATGATCGCAATTGTTTGTCAATGATTGCAGCCACAATAAGGTTGTCCCCAATTTTAATGCCTTCAGATCTAACCTCTACAACAATCATTTGAAATCTTGTGCTTATTCTGCCACAAATTTTTCGTCCACCATTTGATAGCGAAAAAAGTGACTAGCAACATATTTCTTTGCACCAGCTTCCTCAGTATCATATTTATTTTGTAAACCTTTCCACATTTTCTTTGCAGAGGAGTAAGTAGTATTGTAATAATCATAAAAATTATCCGCTAGGCAATTCAAAATATAACACCGACAATTATACTCATCTCTATTATATTTTTCTACCTTCCCTTGATGAGCTTGAAGTTTCTCTTTGTTTATATTGTCTGTAGAGACTTTGTTTGGATTCTTCTCAGTGGGGATGCTGGAGACTTTGAGAAGATTGAGGAAAAATAGGAATTTGCTCTTCTACTGCTTAAAATGAACTCTCTTAAAAGAAAAGGCATGTTGAGATCTCCAATACTATCAACGGGCTTATTAAGTGCTAACTCCATTTGTTTGAATCTCCTTAAAATTGTTGGTAAAATTTCAATAATAAAAAATGGAGTTAAAAAATAAGCAGGAAGATAATGAAATCAGAAAGACTGGGGCGCGGATATCTCACTTTCTTTAAGGAGATTGAAGCCCCATCTACGGTTGGGAAAACATAAAACACGGTGCAGCAGAACTTCTCAATGACTTGTTCCCTCTAAGATATAACAGCTCGATTGTTTGTTGTATGGCTCAAACAAACTCTGCACAAGTAGTTGAGTTTAAAACTCTACTAAAAGAAACACCCTTCTTTACTCAAAAGGACCAAGGAATGGTCCTATTAATAGGTAAAAATAGACAATCCAAAATAAAGAGATGTGATAAACATATGAACCCTTTCTCCTTTCATTTTTCCAGACCTTCAACCTCTTCATTTTCTTAACTCCCAAAACCTATAAACCCATTAAGAAGAATATATAATGAATGAATTTTAATATTAAAATGCACCAACATGATGTGTGATTTGTGATTTAGTATGTGACTGTGACTCAGATTGTATGATATGTGATTGTGTAATACGTGGCTGTGAGCTATTTCGTTTACTTTGAAATTAACTGTATTTATTGTAGTTATGAAATTTTTCCATAAACAAATTAGAGGTTATTAAAAATGGCAGTTTGGATTTTTGTTGCAAACAATATTGTTCTATTTCTTCTAATTTTCTTACTGAAATTGCGATTGTATCAATGACTCGACCCAATGTTCAATCAATTTTTAAACAATTAACTCAAACAAATTCGACACTAGCAATAAAGAAACGATATTGATAATTTGAATCTCAAGCCCGATAACCATGCCTTAGAAGTGTGAAATGGATCAGGTTGGTCCACCTATTAAGCCTACTAGCTACAGCGCACAATTTTTGGCTGCCTCTGTCCAGCCATCAAAATATAGAAAAAAAGCCTTCCAGCCAAAATAAATAAATAAATAAATAAATAATGTTGATAGAGACTTTGACCACATGAATAAACAATTGGAAGAAAAAAGTGGCCCCACCCCTTGTTGTGAGGGTCGATCAGGGTTTCGGTCAATTTTTCTCTGGCAGTGTAGATCCTTGCAAAATATAAGCGCCGGAGCCCAACCAATTTTACTTTATTGGACTAGAAAAAAATGCATTATAATTAAAGTCCTTCCCATATGAGCAGAAAATTGCTATAATATGCTAAGGAACAAAACAGTGCATGAAATTTCGCTGATATCCGGAAAGAGTCGTAAGAGTCCATATCCAGCCACAAAAACATGACAAACGAAGGCTATGCATGTAGATTTTCATAAAATGTTGCACCGATCGATTCAAGATCTCATTAGTTATTTAATTACGTCCCCTTTAGTAGTAATTTTTCACCTGAAAAAATCAATTTTTTGACTGTTATTTCACTATTTCAGCCATCATTTTTTATTTTCTCACTTACAAATGGGATCCACTTTTCTCTTCAACAGTCAAAGAATCAATTCTTATAATCATTATCGAATAGACCCTAAGAGTGGAACTGTTTAATTAAAAAATTTGAAGAAACTGATTCAGATATGTCTATTGAATTTGGGACGATCCAAGCAATTATGTGGCTCGTGCCAACGAAAATTCTATGGCTGTATGATTCATGTCAACCAGTAACAATTATTAAAAAAATTTGTAAAATGAATCCATCAGGCAAAAAATTGGTAGTTCGGAACAATTAACAACGAACAAATTGCTTCTACTTAAGAGTTAATATGCACTTATAATTTAATCTCAGGATCATAATTTTTTTAAAATTTTCTGAAAAATATATATATATATAAAAGAAAAAAAAATGAAGGAAAACGTCCCTTGAAAAACTTCTACAACCAAGCAGCCAGCCTGCAAATTACCAAATACAACGTTGCTCTTGTGCATGTGGATCAATGTGCCACGTGTTCAACCTTCAGTTTATAATATTCAAATCTAAGAAACCCTTATCCCCATATGATAATTCAGGCACGCAACTCTTTTTCTTCAAAAGAAATTGCAGAATATGCCACTCGGAACCTCTATAAAATCTCTCCCCCTCAACATCTTCTGTCGGAGTTGAGTAAGTAAACTATTCAGTCTTCAATGTCTTCATTTCGCACCATGGCTTTGTTTTCAGCAAAGGCACTTGCGCTTTTACACTTCTTAGTTATATGTACCGCTGAGGTTGAAGCTGTGAATGCGGCCGGGCAGCTGCCGTACTTTCCGTCGGCTGAAGCCCCAGCACCGTCGCCGAAAGGTGGCCACCACCACCATCACCATCCCAGCCACCCTCCCACCCAACCGCCTGCTAAGCAGCCTCCCACTCACCCACCTGCTAAGCAGCCGCCCACTCATCCACCGGTTAATCCTCCAACTCACCCCCCAAGCTACCCTCCCACCAGGAAATATGTGGCTGTTCAAGGCGTTGTCTACTGCAAATCTTGTCAGTTCAAGGGGATTGACACTCTAATGGGAGCCTCTCCTCTTCCTGGTGAGTTGGAACTTCTGACATATTTTTCACTCATTAAGTGAAAAAATGACTTAAATTTCTGCCCCAAAAAAAAAAAAAATCTTTAGTTTGTGTATGCCAAACATGTTCTTACTGTTACTCTAAACGTTATATACCTGTATTCATGATCAATTATACGTTTGAAAACACCCAAAAGGGCGTAAAGCAAGAACTGCATCAAACTTAAAACGAAGAGTAAGATTTTGTTCTATACTGTCAGTAGAATAATAACAGGCACTAGGTTACAAGAAATCTTGAATACAAGAGTACTGGCAGTGTGAAGTTTGATTTGACTTCGAAAAGACGTGATGGGAATTGGGAAACAGACACCCGGGTATAATTTTGGCGTTTCCTCACGTGAAATCTCACGCTTTGTATGGTTGTACAGGAGCGGCGGTGAAGCTTCAATGCAACAACACCAAGTACCGCCTGGTGGAGCAAGTCACGGCCGACAAGAATGGGTACTTCTTCATAATGCCAAAGATACTGACAACAGCAGGATCCCACAAGTGCAAGGTGTTTTTAGTCTCTTCACCCAAGGCTAATTGCAGCGTCCCTACCAATCTGCACGGCGGAGCTGGTGGCGCCATTCTGAAACCCAGCACCAAACCACCAGTCACCGATCGCCCGCTTCCCTTCCAGCTCTTCACAGTTGGGCCTTTCGCCTTTGAGCCCCACAAGAACGTGTCATGCCATTATTGATTAGTTGGTGTACTCTATGTGGTTGTGTGTAATTCTCAGCTTTGTTTTAGAATCTTTAGGTAACAGTGCTTTGAACTCCGATATTACCGTCAGTTTGCATTTGGTGGGAATAAAGTGGTATTATTAAAATTTTGTCATAAAATGAATGAGAAATGTGTGTTGTGATTCGTATTTGTGTTGAATACTGGAAAATTAATTGTTCTTTTAGGGTAGATGCAGACATTGTTGCTACTTTTCATGCAGATAAATTATGGGGACTCGTTTACACTTTTTCTATTTCTGTGTTTTGTGCCTGCAAAAGAATATAGATACAAGAAAGCTGGAAAAGGAAAAACGCAGAGGCATCAATTGATTACTTCAATGTTGAAGATGGATTAAACGTTGCCGTTGAATTGGTAATCAAAGTCCTCAAGCTATAATCTGTTGGAAATAAACTGTCTTCATGTCATACCAATAAAAATTTGTTTTTTAAAATCGTTTCTAAAATTGGTTTACGTGATCATTAATCGTTTAATTACAGTAAGATTAGGCATTGGTTTTGTATTTTTTTCATGAGAAGTCCTACGTGTACATAATTGTCTACATAATGATGTTCATAATTATATGTGGCAGTGGATCCAACATTTAATTCAAATTTCACACTTGCACATCAACAATCGGATGATTGTCACATCATATTATGGACATCATTATGTACAATAATTATGTACAAGTAGAATTTTCTCGAGCACAAAATTTAATTGACAAACCAGAATCGTAAAGATAAGCAGAAAGCAAAAGTCAGAGCCAGATCTTCGCTTACGTTTGATCTCAATTTTTTCAAAACTCATTTTCTTAAAGGTGATGCTACACGTAAATAATGTGGTGTATACTCGAATTTACACCCCTTACATGAAAAGGAGGCCCGCACAGATGATTTATTGTGGGCAAGCTCCCTCCATTTGAGAAGGGTGTAAATAAGAGTGTACAAGTATCATTTCCTTTTATTCAAAACTCATTTTTAACTCTATATTTTAAATAAAATAATTTTACACGCAAATCAAATTTTTTTTTCAACTACATATTCTTCAAAGAATTACTATTTCAAAATATATTATTTCCCAAAAATTGGGCTCAAACAATCATTGTACTGCCTCCAATTACAAAAATGCAACTTTGGGATAAAATCCTATTTTTCCTTCTTAATTGTAATTCATTTGAACCCAAATAGGAGTTTTTTATTTTCTATTTAAATATGTTATATATAATGTCATTTTTTACCCTTCCTTGAAAGACTAAGATATACTCTGTTTGATCTATTTCTTTATTTCCGCATGAATCTTATGTTTGTAACAACAGGGACAAAATTTTCTCAATTCTAATCGACGGGATATTAATTAGCTTAGTGGTAGAGCGCACCCCTGATAATTGCATTATTATGCCTGAGCTATGAGAGTTCTCAATCACATGAATAGTTCATAGCATAATAAAATAAAAAACATGAAGAGTTCAAATCCCAGCTTGACTATTTTTGCAAAGAACTTAAGCAAGAGCTCAAAGAATGTGCGCTCCATTACATACAAAAGGATATGAACAACAATGTTCAACGAATAAAGATCGATGCTTGTAGGTCAAACACGACATAAAGACACCGTAATAGACATGCATACACTAATTCTCATTTTATTTTGTTAGGCCCCTTCCCATCGACATTGTTAGTACACTGAGCTCTCAAATTGAAAATATTGTACTACTAGGTACGAAGACTATAATGAAGGTATAAAAACGAGACACCTTTAGCCCGTTCTAGAAAGACCCCTTTGGCTCCACTAGTAGACACTCATGCTCCTTGGAGATCCCATGCTCCATAGCCATGTGATCACAATTACGGGAGATCTCGAACCCTCATATGGGAAAATAGTCTCGAGTGTACAAGAAATTGAGGGATCTACATGTCATACTAATCTTTTAGTGCACATGCATGAATTTCTAGAGCAATAGTGAAAAAATTTATGGCATGTAATAAATATCCATTAGCTCAATCAATTCAAACTCTTGCATGCATTCTAATAAGCTTCTCTAGCACAAATCATCAAACGCTTGAAAGGATATTTCATCTAAACTTCATTAATGATTTCTTGAATCACATAAAAAAAATATTAGTACAAGTGTTTGTGGTTGCAAGGGAAGAGGATTGGGTGTTGTCAAAAAAGGTAGGTCTGAGGTAGAAAGTTTATAAATATACTTTTGCTTATCTATAAGTACAAGTGTTTGTGGGTGTATTGGTGTATAATCCTACTTCTATACACAATAATGCTATTCAGTCCTTGGTATTTAACACTAGTACATGTGATGTCACTTGTGGTATATAAAGAAAAAATAAAAAAAATTAAAGGTATATTATCCTTGAAATCCACCTGGTCTAAATCGACTCAGATTAATTTTTGTGAAAGGAAAAGGCCGCCCCTCCACAGAAAAAGGAAAAGGCTGCCCCTCCACAGCAAGTGAGTTGCTTTCTATGATGGACGAAAGAAAGCCTAGGGCTCTAGCAGTCGAGCCCTATGAGAGCTAAGCTCTTCTTTTGGCTCAAGAAAGATGATCGTAAAAACAAAAACTTTCATATGCTATCCCAACCCAAAAGGTCAATTTGGTTATTGGGTTGGATCGGTTCTACCTACCAGTATAAAAATTCCTGCATCTTTCAAAAATGACAAAAATCATCACAAAGGAGTGAAGAAAATTACAAGTTCACGAAATGATCCATAATCTTGTTTTGGGCCAATTTAGTGTTATTTAAGGAACTTGTTCGTTGAGCTTATTTTCGTGCCTCTTTATTATTAATTAATATACACTTGGTTAATTAACACAAATTGGCTATATGATTGCTCAATATTATCAGTGCTAATAATTAAGTATGTGATACCCTTTAATGAATTTTGGTTCAATCTCGTTTTTAGACTTCTCTTTTTAATTGCAAAAAGGGCCTAAGAGAAAAAGAATGATTATCTATTTATATCATATTAGCAAAAATAGAAACATTTAATGTTTGATTGTGTGTCACTATGTTGTACGTATCTTCACGAGTGAGTAACAATCAACGTGCAGCTTTTCAAACGTAAACTATCAAGACCAATTAACAATTAGCAAGAATCAACCGCAATCTAATAATGTTCTAAAAAGCTCGTCTAAGCTTTAAACTTGGGCCAAACGGCTTGCTTCGTGCATAGACCTTTTTTCTTTTTCTTTTTAAATGGTTGAATTTTTTTCATTTCTTTTGTCTTCCATAGACGCACTTTATTAGTTATTTTATTTTATTTTATTTTATAAGTCTTTATATGACATTAGCATATTATTATTTAAAAAAAAATCATTTGACTTTAACTTCAAGTTTTTAGAAGATTTGATTTGTGCAAAAGTTAAAAATGACTTTATCTAAGTAGTTAAATAAGTTTTTAAGTCATGATATTATCTACATTATGATCTTTAAACTCATTTTATTACAAATTTTAGAGGCATGCATGAAGTTCCTATAAATCCATTAAGTAGGACTTGTCTAGTTGAAAATTGAAATTAAAATATTCTAATTTTTGCAGTTCGAAAAATTAAAAATTGCATAGTTGACTAATGGTTGGGGTTATTAAGTAAATATTGTATTTTATAATTTTAGATGTTTAATATGTATTATTTTAGTTATTAAATAATTTTTAAGATGATTAAAATTTAAAATAATATTATGCTTAAGCCTCACTTAGACTTGCTTAATCTTGAAAGCTTGAAACTTCGGCTTCACGCCTTGCCACGCTTTATACTTTTTTTGAACATTGCTATTTGGTATAGATTTTTTAAAATTTATTTTTCTCAAACTAATTTTTAAATTTACTTTCAATCAAACATTATCTAAAAATAACAATTTTCATAAAAATTGTTCTAAAATAATCTACATCAAATAGGATCTTAATGATCATGCATATATTTGTATCCCTTAATACCTAGGGTGAAAATTTGGCCAAATGCTTACGGGCAACATCTCGTGTTTTATTAAAAAATATGTCTTTTATGCGATAGTATGTATTATAATATGGATCCTTCTTTTTGTACTAAATCATGTACAAAATGAATTACAAAATCAACAAGTGGTGGAGGCCGCCACTTGTTGATTTTGTAACTCTTTTTGTATTTCATTTTGTACTAATAGCATGATCCTTATAAAATATGAATCATCTCACTAACCATAAAATTCACTTGTAATAAAATTTCTAGATATAGTGATTATTAGGGCTCGACAAAAAAAATCGAAAAATCAATCAAACCAAATCAACTCGAGTCGAGTCAATTCAACAAAGGTAAATGATTTGGTTTTCTTTTAAACAAAATCATGATGAGTTGGTTCGGTCATGATTTAAATTCTCAGACCGTTAGTTAAGTAAACCAACTCAACCCACTTACATGTTTATCTTTTTTTTTTTTTTTGAAATTTAAGAAAAAATAATAATAAATCCTAATCTTGTAACTATAGCTCGATTACTCCAATCTATAATGTTGCCGATAAATAATAGCAATAGAAATTTTCTTTCATAAGCTTATTATATTATGCTTAGCATTTTTTTTCCTTCTCAGGCAGTCAGACTACATAAAACATAAAAAATAATATTTTTAAGTTTTTCGTTGATACGTCTCTATTAACCTAATTTTATTTGCTACTCAATAATTCTTGTAATATAAAATTATTTGATTAATTTAGTTATTGTAATCTAAATGAGCCCAAAACTCGAACAAATTTTTTTTTTTTTTTAAATTTGGACTAAAACTCCAAATCGACTAATCGAATCGAATCAAACCAAATCGACTGGACTAAAATCGGTTCGGTTCGGTTTGATTTAAGAGGTAGAGTGGGTTGGGTTGGATTAAAATTCATCCAAACCAACTAATTTGATTTTGATTTCGAATTGGAGTCAAAATCGATCCAAACCAAACTACGCTCAGACTTGTAAGGATAACAAAAAAATTCGTCAAATTCGATACCAACGGGTCCCTCCTCGAATGATTTCGCTCCAGGGCAAGTACAGGTAACAAGGGTCCATCCCGTTTAACTTTTTTCTATATTAGTAATACAATACTTTATAAATGAAAAAGTCCATAAATTTCATTAATTCTAATAAAGATGGTGATTAAGATTATCTCAGGAATATGAT